TTTTTGTTTTTTCCCTGTTGGCTACTATCAGCCAAAAAAATGCCTAGAACTCGAAGTAAAAACAAAACACACACAAAAAAGAAGTCACTAACTTTCTGTCATTGACCCCTCATCCCTATGGTTGTGAGTTTTCTATCAGGGTTTCTAGACAGTTGATCGCACAGTGGGGCAAGATTAAGAGCTCGCACCACTTTATTGCTCTGCTTAGCTGTTGATGGGCAGGGCCCCAGGGTCAGAGCTCCAGGTCAAAGCTCCCTCTTCAGATCTCAACATTCATCTTGGCCACAGGGAATTACTAAAGATGAAGGCTCGCGTCAAACTCTCTCTCCCTGTGCTCTGCCATAAGCCAGCTGGGAGCCCCTGGGTCGGTCACTTACCCTCCCCATACCCAAGTTCCCTCGTCTGTAAAATGAGAGGTTTGTACTGTCTGATATCTAAGTCTTCCACCGCTAGAATGCTGTGATTCTTTGTGATTGCTTTTAGCTGTACTTGACGCAAGTACACACATCTACATTTCATGGGAAGAAATGGGGAAACGGAAAGAACGTGGAGCATCTGCCCTGGAACCACACGGTTCTTCTGGCCCCAGCTCTGAAACTCATTGGCAAACCATCTAATAAGTCAGATTCTGTTTTCTCATTGGTACAAAATACAAAGCTATCACCGCATACAGGGATGTTGGGAGAATCAAGAGAGAAGATGAATATGAAGTGCATGGCTCGCAGCCTGCATGCTGGGCCCTTTCCCTTTCTCGGCTCTTCCAAGCCTGAAGCAGCAAAGAAAAGGGGGACAAGCAAACTGTCTACTCTTCTCTGGAGCCCGGGGAGCAGCTTCCTCTGCACAATCAAAACCGCTTCCTGAGCCCAGATGAGCAGCTGCCCCTCTCTCCTTGTCTAGTCCTCTTAGGCGGCACTGAGTGTGTCTCATACCGGGAGATGGTGTGGCCTGTGTGTGCCCCTGGGTCCATCCTATGGGGAATGATACTCATTTGAGCCCCCAATGAAATTGTCTTATCCTGGGAGAAACAACATGTAGATATAGTCATTGCCTTGCCTTCCTTGGTAAGGGAATGGCTGGTGATGGCCCTGGTCTGTAAAAGTCTTACAGTAAAGACAGGGTGGTCTTTATATATCTCGGGCACATATGATTGCATTCCCAAAGGAAAAAAGGCCAATGTCGTTTGGATGAAATGCCGTTATCGGCTGTGTTTCTTTCACTCTCAGCTTTGTCTCTGTCCTCTGAGTGCTCCTGAACCAGATGTGGTCTGCCTTGCCTTTTCTTCTTGGCCTCTCAGTCACCTCTGTAGCTCTAAGAACTTGAATTTACATCTTAAACGCCCACCATGACTCCAGTCCCGCCGTGCTGACAGCCAGGGCGGGTTTCAGGCACGGACGCAGCGGTCCTTGAGTAACATGTTTTCCTGATTGTTTCTACCCAAGTATATTAAAAACACTTGCCTTTGTAGCAAACTTGCTCCTAATTAATTGTTTAAAGTCTCTGTATCCCTAGAGGAGATATGGGAAATCTTTACCTTATATGGTCGAGAATAAAACAATTATCTAGCAAATACTTTCTACAATTAATCATAGTCACTATATATAGTACAAAAAAGATTCCTACCTCCAAAACCCGAAATAGTTTGTTTTTGAACTAATTCCATAGAAGTTTAGCAACTCCGTCCAAGAACAATTATATTTTAAAATTTGAAAACAATTTCTTCTCTGTCAGCCGTTTTGGTCCTCTAAATAGCTCTCATGTTTCTTCCTAGGCGAGTGCGCATGGTTTAAGGGGGTAATTTGTCATTTTACCTCACTTTTTATCTTAGCTAACCATCCATCCTCAGTCACACTTGCAGTTTTAGATTTGAGGCTTCCATTTGAATGTGTTTGGAAAAAAAAAACCCAAAAGTATAAGGGCATGAGCATTTTTCAGTGCTATATGGGAAATGCAGCAGGTCTGGAACTCACTGATTTTCTTAGCATTTTGATTATATGGGTCTGAGTTCAGATGAATCGAAGTAAAAATGAAACTCAGCAGGTATGATGAAATCAACTGAAACTGCCGAAACGGTTGGTCAGAGCCCACAGAAACTGTTTCATTCTCTGAGACTGGGAGGTAGAACCAGACCTAATTCAAGAGACAGCTTGCGAGGGCTGTCATCATTCAACTCCTCAAATAGAGAAAGACATTTCTCAACAGTGGATTTGGGTTTTTTAAACTACCTTTGCACAGACTTCAGTAAACGACACAAAGTTAATCTCTGCAAACAACAGGATATATGCATGATACCACTTTTTAACTTATACGAATTGGAATCTAATCCCCCCAACATTCATGCTGTGTTGGTAACTGGACGTGGGTGGGGAGAGACCCAGATGAAATACTTTTAAAACAATTTAATTTCTGCCGTTGACTCAGGAATGAGAATGGAGTCGGGGAAACAAGCCTGACCTCATGCAGAGAAAGCTGGTTATGTTCTCTGATCTGTCTTTCCTCTGGGAGCCTCCCAGAAGCAGCAAAAGGGGGCACAGAAATTTGTTGCGTAGATGACACTTTAAAAGAAATATTTTGTTCATTTGTAAAACAGAAAGGCTAATATTTACCTTACCTACCTCGCAGGGGGCTGTATCCAAGGACACCATACATGTGTAAAATCTGGAAAATGCTATGATGTAGACACTTTATCATTACTGTGTCCACGTTAGAACATTCTTAAAAGGAAGGTGAGCATCAAAACTGCTAACTACTACCTGGCAATTCAGGTATGAGGTATATAATATTGCCGGTTGCCTACAAAAAACGAAGATCTCTCTCTCTCTCTCTCTCTTTCTCTTGGACACAGAAATATTCCACATAATTGCAATTAAAAATTGACTGAGCTTTTATTTTCATGAAGTATCAGGTAAAATACAGATTAAGTCTTGAAGCTGCAGTACTACAAGAATCCTGAGGCCATGCAGTGTCAATGAACAGGATAGCTCTTTGTCTATCAGTTGGTCCTAAGAATGTCTCTAAGAGCAACAGCCTTGGGAAAGAAATGCAAATGAACACTGACCACCATACTTCTCCTATTTTCTCTATTTAAATATAAAGTCTGCCTGAAATATACTATTTATCACTCCTTTCTTGAGCACCAGTTGCAATAATTTTAGATCACAAGTCTATTAAATTATAAAACATTTTATGTTTTCCAATACTTTTTAATGTGCGTTTCTCAAAACATGGTTTGAAATTCTGTTTTTAACTCACCAGAGTACCTAGTAAAGTGCTAGACAATTAGCAGACACATAATAAATTCTTCCTGAGGACTGATTTATTAAGAGAAAACATGCTAATATTAACTATAAACTGTTAATACACTCCCACATATACAATTTAAAGTACCTGGACTCTTTAAGAGTGGTAAAAAAAATTTGCAGAAGTGGGATTGTATAACTAGATTGACTTAATCCATCACTTAATGGGAACCCTTTCTCTAATTTAAGGCTAACTTTAGAATTAGAATTGATAAGTGAGAACTACTTTACCTTTATATATTAATGAGTAATTATGACATAATGAAACTGATTTTCATTAGATAACCCATGAGAACCTGCCTATTTTGAGAGTGACACTATAGTCCATCTCTCAAAATATGTGTTTAAAAAGGCATATATATTATTATTTTATGTCAATATCTTTTCTTAAGCAGTTGAAACAAAATTTCTTATTGCACAGTTCTACTAAGCTAGTCAAATGAAGTATTATTGTTTAATAAATGCATGACAAAGCTCTTTTGACCAGTTTCGTTTTAAGGACAGCATTTTCATTTTCTCTGTGTAAGAAGGGAAAAATCACTACAAACTCCATCTCTCTTTTGTATCAGGAACACTGCATGGTTTAATTGCTGACAGCCTTGATGTACTAAGTAGTAAACAGCTGAGCATGCCTCATTACATTCCTTAGGACACCTCTTTGAGTAGATGCGATAATTTATTACATTGAGTAGGTCTAATTCTCCCTTGATTTATGGAAGCGGTAATAACACTCCATCTGACAGAATGCTTTGCTAGGAGGAATCCAGATCTAGGCACTAAAATCTTTATGGCCTCCCCAGGAGGAGTTGGGACGCAGGTGGTATTCTGAGCACCACAGCAGAGAAAAAGGAGGAGTTTGCCTGAGGTCTTCTGACAAGTCAGCTACTCAGGGAACAGAATCTAGTCTCCTGATGCCTAGCACACAATCACAAAAGCATACTCCTGGAAGAGCTGCCCAATCATGTGTGCAGAGAAGAGGGGAAATGACACCCAGGATGCTCACTGCAGAATGCCCACAGCAGCCTGTCACCAGTCCCCTCCGACTACGCATAAAGCATACTGAAGGGTATCGAACAACATAAAATCCTAATGCTACCCTTAATTAGGTGGGATCATCAGGCTAACTCCCTGACTGCCAACAGCCCCAAATTCCTCTCTGTGGTGCCCAATCCTGAAAACAAGATGTAGTTACAGAAACACTCTTTGGCTTACAAGGGACCATCAAGCTCTGATGATGGTGAAATTTGATAGCACTAAGGTCCAACTTTATGTGACCATAATCCAGGTTTACAATGATACATTAAGCCCTAATGCTACTATTTATATCACCGTAAACTCAGTTTCCTGTGATATAAATAGTTATGCTAATGGCATTAACGGCAGCACTCAGTGCAGTCACAGCTGTTGAGTGCTGCTTTTATGCTATTAGCATTGCTACTTGTATCACCATAAACTTAGGTAGTCACATTTGTTACATAGGAATATACAAGAAAGATGGATAGCCACATTTTACGCCCATATCTAGCCTCCTGTACCGGAGACTTACAGCTTGCTGCCCTCCTCTGTGTATTAAGGTCTGCCTAGCCCTCCACTTGGCTCTGTTTATACCGAACAGCAATCTGTTTTCTGCCAACCTCGCGTTTGCTGGGAAACACTATTTAAAATTGGTAAGGAGGTGCCAGGCCCAGCTACGGGCACACTTACTGTCTCCTTGGCAGCGCAGGGGACCCACACTCAGTTTGGCTTCCGAGCCTTGCCGGTCAGTATCTCCAACCACCACCTGGCTTACTGGCAGGTGATCTTTGTAGGATAAGAAGCCAGCGTCCTTCCTCCTGAATCACAGGGAAAGACAGAAAAGCATGAGGAGGCTAAGTTAGAAACATGTCTTTTTTGATCATTGTTTAAGTTGTCTAACAATTGACCACATTCCAATAAATGCTCAGAGGCGCACTAAGCAGAACCACAGTTAGAGTTGTTCCCTCTCTTCCACTGGGTGGTTTCACAGGTCATGGCTCAGAAGCAACTGTGCCCGCTTTGCCTTCTGGAAAACAAAACTGACACCCTGATTTCCAGAGAGTCACAACCAATACACAGCATGCTATTTCAGGTTGAGTGTAGACTACCCTGTTGCTTGAAGTACACACATCAAATGCTGAGCATGCATGCAGAGTCTGCTGTTGTCAGGGAATCAAAAGTTCAACAAAGCCAACCTGATCTCTTGCATAAAATTAGAAACAAAACCCTATTAAAAAGCTCCCTTGTCTCCTTAATTGCTTTGAAGCGGTTGCTTCAGAGGCCTTCTTCCCTGCTGCGCATCAGCTAAATAAGAGATACTTTTAGGTCCTTCATCTCTTCTTGTTTATTTTAACAGCTGAAAGAGTTTATGCAACGTTTGGGACACAGAGCAGGTGCTCACTAAGTGTCTACTTCCATCAGTAATGAGGAGTGGAGTTGAGATGCAAGCCCAATTTGGCTTCTCTCTTAGATTTGTTCTCCTGTTTATTCTATATCTAGCCTGTTTCAGGTCTCCTAACTCAACCCCATACCCACCCTGAATAGAGGAAGAGGGCAAGGCTAGTTGTAAAGTATTGATTCTAGGATGAAGCACAGAAATGTAGGAGATGTTCTTAGGGATGGAACCAAGGTGAGTTACCATGCAGCACAGATTTCACCTTAATAGGAAATTCCTATCCCCTCATCCTCTTTTTGTGCTGCTGTGGCCGAGAGATCCCCTCATGTGGGGCTAGATGACTGGGAGGCACAAATCAGTGTTAAGGTCATTCCACAAATTTATCTTTTTGCATGATTTTGTGCACTGTTCAGCCTGAATGTAAATGAGAATTTTGAAATTGTATGTACAACTGATCACAGGAGAGAAAACTGATTTTGGATGATAGAAGAATGAGAGAAAAGTTGGCGGGTGGGGGGAGCGCTGGGAGGAATTGGGAGATTGGGATTGACGCATACTCACCATGGATACTGTGTATAAAATGGATAACTAATGAGAACATACTGTATAGCACAGTGAGCTCTGCTTAATGCACTGTGGTGACCTGAATGGGAAGGAAGTCCAAAAGGGAGGGGATATTTGTATATGTATGGCTGACTCATTTTGCTGTACAGTAGAAACTAACACAATATTGTAAAGCAGATATACTCCAATAAAAATTAATTCAAAAAAAAAAGAAGAATGAGGGAGAGAGCTCAGTAATCAGGTTAAAGGTCTGTCATTTGCATCTCTTGCAGGGAATTGAGGAGAACCAACTTGGAAACCTGTCCCTAAAAGGCTATGCTGTTAGGAGCAGTTACTTGCTCCTCTGACCTTCTAGAAAGTCACTGAACATATGCTCCTTCATGTGTCAGGACCCACAGAAACCCAGGAAGGAGTCACAGAATTTAGCCAGTGGACCGCAAACAAGTGTATTTTCCACTGCCTTAGTTATTTCAATGAGTTTCCAAGATAAAGTTTAAAAAAAATATTTTTTTTTTGGGCTGCTGCCACATGGCATGCGGGATCCTTAGCTCCCCGACCAGGGATCGAACCCTCACCCGCTGCAGTGGAAGTGTGGCGTCTTAACAACTGGACCGCCAGGAAAGTCCAAAAAAAAATATTTTTTTAATCATATGAGAACTAAGATCATGCAGAAAAGCACTGTGATTCTTACTGACACTGCAGCTACTGGTGACCCAGCCTCAAATCATTTGTAAACCCAACTCCTTATATTAGAACTTCTATCAGTTAAAATCATGTTAGAGAGGGAAGAAAGTCTTTGCTATTAAATTTGATATTTAATGTTTCTTAAAGGGACAATAAATGAAAGCACCCTTAATAACATACTGTGATTTGACAACTTAGTAGAGTAATGTGCATTCCTGTGGAACTTCAGGCCGAGATTCTCTACAAGTTCATTATCACTTAGAATTAACTGACTCTAGATCAGGGATTTGTGACCTAAGTCCTGAGAACCATTCATCTTGTCGCTTTTTCTGTGATGGCCCATAAGCTTTTTTTTTTTTTTTTTAAATATTTATTTATTTGGCTGTGCCAGGTCCTAGTTGCAGCATGCGGTATCTGTAGTTGCGGCACGCGTACCCTTAGTTGCGGCATGTGGGATCTAGTTCCCTGACCAGGGATGGAACCCGGGCCCCCTGCATTGGGAGCGTGGAGCCTCAGCCACTGGACCACCAGGGAAGTCCTATTTTTTAAAATTTTAAATGGTTGAAAAGAAATCAAAAGCAGAATAATATTCTGTGCCATGTGAAAATTACCTAAAATTCAAAGTCAGTGTCCATAAATAAAGTTTTACTGAAATAAAGTCACTTTTTAATTTAACTTCTTTTTTACAATATTGTCTATGGTGCTTCCAGGCTACACTGGCAGAGCTGAGTAGTTATAATAGAGACCATATGGCCCTCAAAGCCTAAAATATTTATTATCTGGCCCTTTATAGAAAACGCTTGCCAACTCTTGCTCCAAATCATCAGTGCCCCTTTTTCCTCTGGGAATTTATTGAGCAAATATCCCACTGACAAGCATGGTGGCCTAATGTGCAACTTATCCCCACAGTCGAGTACAGGGTTAGGGAAGGGGCATGAGAATATCTCTGAGGTGGGGAAAAAAGCATTTAAGCCAACATTTATTTACTCTAGCAGTGAGAAGTAACTTAAACCTTATTAATAATTAATTTTCTGATGGACGTCACACTAGGTGGCCTGCAGTCATGTGTCAGGATGCTCAACATCCTTACCTGATACTTGGTATTGTTGGTTCATTTACAATGAATGAGAAAGTGACTACTTTATAACAAATCTTGTGTTAATATAAGAGTATTCTGGAAACAAATGTTTGGAAATATTCCAATCACTATGTAATCTTATTGCCAAAATTTGTATGTGCATAACCTCATAAGAATTTACACATCTACACACTTCCACAACTTGGAAACATAATTTTAAAATATTTGTAATAATCTTGTAAATGTAGAGGTCCAGTGGGTTTTGGACTTATTTTATAATACTGAAATGGGTCATTATTCAGTTACTTTGCAAATAAAACTGATTCAGAGATGATAGATTTACTACATTTGATCAAAACCTTTGCATTACTGGTCAATGAAACTGAAAAATTAACATCATGATTCAGTAGGTGCGCTTAGCAATATACCTTTGTCTAGTTTGTTATATGTACCTTTAGGTAATATTTTTCAACTATGATAGTCAATAAAGTCAAGTATCAAAATGAAAAACACAGAGAGGCAGATCTTCAAATTGGTAATCCAAGATTATTTAAAATAATATGTATTTAATCACATCACAGTTACTAAAACAATTAAAGGTAAAATGATTAATTTCTATTAATATTTTAGAGAAGATATTATTAATGACAACTTTATATCATTTTTAAAAACTTAATTTTTTTATATTGAACATAAAATGTTAATTCACTAGAACCTGTAACTTACTTTTATACTTACTTGTAAATATGTGCTCAAAAGATTTTTAAATAGCGTATCAAAAAATATGAACACTGCTCTAATTCATAGAAAGTAATAACAATACAGCATTTATCACTGAATACCTGTGTATATTAGACTATTTCTTGTATACAACATCTAATCTGAAATCAATTCTTCCATAGAGGCATCATTATCCCCATTTTACTGATGAGAATCAGAGAATTTATCTTGACCAAGGTCACCAGCTCATAACTATAGAGTCTGGATTCAAATCTAGATTATCTGGATCCCAATCTAGAATTTTCCACAAAAAAGAGGGGAGAAACAAAACAGAAGAAAACAAAAAACAACTATGTCAATTAAAGGCCTTTTTCTTTTAATTTTCATTTACAGATGAGGTGAAAATGTACCTTTTTAGATACACTTAGGTATCCTGAAACATTGAGAAAATTATTTGTGATTAGTAAGTTCAAAGATATCTGTAATGTTATACTCACAGGCATCCCCTACGCCATCAGCACACCAAGTAAAAGTGGTCTAGAACTACCGCATCCCCAAGCTAACCACTGTTTTTAATGGTATATTGAAGTTTACAAAAGGTTACAGTTCAGCTAATATAGAAGTCTCCCTTAGCCTCGGGGGATACGTTCCAAGACCCCCAGTGGATGCCTGAAATCACAAATAGTACTGAACCCTATATATACTATGCTTTTTCCTATATGTACTGTATATATCTGTGATAAAGTTTAATTTATAAATTAGGCACAGTAAGAGATTAACAACTAATGATAAAATACAACAATTGTAACAATATACTGTTATAAAGATGTGAATGTGGCCTCTTTCACACACACACAATATCTTATCGTCCAAATTTAATGCCTTTTGCATCCTAACTAAGCACTGTTTTGTAACGTTTGCAGTTTGAGGTATGACAGCAAAACTACCACGAATTTCTTTTTCCTTCTTCACAGTTTCATGGACAGAACATTCGTTCTCACCACGAATCTTAGCAACGTCAGCATACAGTTTTCTTTCCTTACTAAGTCACCACCTTTTCACTTAAAAGCAGCATTAATGGCTTCTCTTTGGCGTATCTGAATTGCCAGCATCACTGCTCTTGTGCTTTGGGGTCATTATTAAGTAAAACGAACAAAAGCACTGCAATTTTAAACGAATGAATTGTTTATTTCTGAGATTTTCCATTTAATATTTTCAGATCACGGTTGACCAAGGTTAACTGAAACCATATACAGCAAAAACTTGGATGAGGGATTACTGTAGTGATAACCCTCAGGTATTCCTTAACCAAACCAAGAAAATAGGAGAAAATAATTATCAGCCGAGAAAAAAAAAATACAAAGTTACCTTCTCGA